CCCCCCCGTTTTTACGTGCTCACACATCAGGGGCTTCGTTACTGCGGCCTGTGAACAAGGGGCTCTGGGTCTGAGCCCCTCCCACATAGGGATGTGACCCCCCCCAAACAGCCAGTCCTGTACCCCCAGACAGGGGCCCATCCCCCTCAGCGCCCCGTTTTCTCCAGCTAGGGCCAGTTCTGGCACCGAGCCCGCTCGCCTTGTCTAGTTAACCCTCCAGCTTTAAAATTACCCCCCCAACAGTATAATAGAACCTGACCCCCCCCCCCCAAGCCAGGTCTGCGGCGTGTACACAGCCCTGCGGGCAGAGCCTCCGCACACACATGACCCATGTCCCCGCCCTGCGTGCGCCACATGTGGCCAAGCCGCTCGGACACGTTTGTGTCCACGGGGGTTGCTGGCCTGAGTGTGAGAAAAAATTACACGCAACATGCGTGTGCGTCCAGCAGTGTCTGTGTACATCATGCCTGCGTCACACATGCAGCAGGGCGCGTGGGCTATTTCACACGCTGCAATGCCACGTGTCGCACACACGACACGTATGTTGGATGTGTCTCTTCTGAGCAGCCACATGTAGCGTGCCGTGTGATTCAATGTCTCCTGAGCCTGCATGTGCGAACTGCCACACACACACACATGGCCAGGCAACACACATGTGCGTGAAGCACACACACCTTCATGGATGCAGCATGTGCTACATGGAACATTCATGCAACATGCTGCCAGGCACATGTGTAACACATGCAACAGAGCCACTGTGCATGCGTGTGCATTTACCCGTGCCACACAGTCCTCGTGCATGCATGTGCATTTACCTGTGCCACACAGCCCTTGTGCATGCGTGTGCATTTACCCGTGCCACACAGCCCTCGTGCAAGTGTGTGCATTTACACGTGCCACACAGCCCTCGTGCATGCATGTGCATATACCCATGCCACACAGCCCTTGTGCATGCGTGTGCACTCTGACCTGCAAAGCATCTGCCACGCCCAGGTGCCCTGTACACCCAGGTGCACTGACACGTGTGATGCACCCCCGTGCAAACATGTGCCGTGCAGCCATCATGCAGCCGGGTGCACTCACATGTGCAAAGGAGCCGGTGTCGCACCCCCACGTCTCCACGCGGCGCCCCCGCCCTTTCCTGCTCCATAACCGAGCCACATGACCACGCAGGGCCCCCCTCCCCGCTTTACAGGGTCAGCTACTAACCGGGGCCTCTCCTCTCCTCTCCCTCTTCCTCCCACAGGCTGGACAATTTGCTAAACATGGCCTACGGCGTTAAGAGGTAACGAGCCCCCCCCCAGCCTGCCGCTGCCCCCCAGCCCCAGCCGCCAGCACTGGGCATTAACTAGCCCCCCCCCCCACTTCCCATCCCCTCCCCAAGCCCCCCTGCCAAGCCCAGCCTGACAGCAGAGACACCCTCCCCCTCCACCTGGGACCCTGCCACCAACCAGATCCCTTCCCTGCGTGACTGGGGGGGGGGACATTGGGGGCGGCGGGTCCTGGTCAGCAGGGTGCCAGGTTCCTGGTTCCATTTCGGGCCTGCTGTTGGAAAGGAAAGACCTTCTTTTGGGGTCGATTCTGCGGCGTCTTCTTTTAAATCATAATCCCAACCCCGCCCTCCCAGCATGGGAATAGCTGGCCAGTGCAGAATGCCCAGGCGCGCCCTTCCCCCCCCCCCCCCCCGGACGGTGTCAGGGCCTTGGGAGTCAGGCGGGGGGGGGTCACATGGGACGCGTCACTCGCTTATTCCCTCCCTTGGGTTGGTTGTTCAACGCTCTTCAGAGCCTGCCGGCGTGGGGGTGGTGATGGGGGGGACGTGCGCAGATCCCCCAGCAGCAAACACCCCTGCTTTTGTTATTGGGCTTAGAGACCCCGACCCAGATCCAGGCCCCGCAGACCCCAAACAAGATCCGGGCCCCTGTTGTGCCGGGCGCTGCCCAGACCCGGGGACAGACAGTCCCTGCCTCGAAGCCTTTACAAGCGAAATAGATCCAGGAAGGGTCATTATCCCCATTGCTCACATGGGGAAACTGAGGCCCAGAGAGGGCCACTGGCTTGGCCAGGGTCACCCAGGGAGTCTGGGCAGAGGGGGGAGATGAACCCGATTCAGGATAAGGGCAGCGCAGGCCAGAGCCGCCCATGCCCTGGTCTGGCCACGCCCCCCGAATGGAATTGCTGTGGGGGCGGGGCGGAGGGCGAGAGCGGGTTCGAATCCAGGTCCCAGGCTCTGTTGTCCTGGGGAGGAGCCTCCCTCAAACCCCTGCCCCCCAGAGCTGATCTTGGCGGCTGGCTAGAACCAGGGCCGGCTCCAGGGTTTTGGCCGCCCCAAGCAGCGGCAATTCGGCGGGAGGGCCTTCGCTCCGAGGGGGAGTGAGGGACCGTCCGCCGAATTGCTGCCGAACAGCTGGACGTGCCGCCCCTCTCCGGAGTGGCCGCCCCAAGCACCTGCTTGGTGCGCTGGTGCCTGGAGCCGGCCCTGGCTAGAACGTGGGGCCTCCCGCACCCAGGCCTGGGGTGGTGGCCAAGGAGAGACCCTGCTCCACGTGCCCAGGGCGATTCCCGGCTCCCCGTGCCCAGGGCGGGTGGGTTGGTCCCCGGTCCTTGTGCCCATGGCGATTCCCCGCTCCCTGTGCCCAGGGTGAGTGGATTGGTCCCCGCTCCCCGTGCCCAGGGCGTTTCCCCGCTCCCCGTGCCCAGGGCAGGTGGGTTGGTCCCCGCTCCCCGTGCCCAGGGCGATTCCCCGCTCCCCGTGCCCAGGGCAGGTGGGTTGGTCCCCGCTCCCCGTGCCCAGGGCGATTCTCTGCTCCCCGTGCCCAGGGCGATTCCCGGCTCTCCGTGCCCAGGGCGGGTGGGTGCTGTGCTCCCGCCGCGCTGATGCCCGCGTTACACCCAAGGTAGTCCTCTGTCCTTAATCTCCAGGTTCTCGCCCATCACCATCGACAGCATGACCAGCCTGGCGGGCGTCAACCTGACGGGGGCCTCCAGTGGCGGCTGGTGCATCTTCGTCTACAACCTGTCGCCGGAGGCGGACGAGAGCGTCCTGTGGCAGCTCTTCGGGCCCTTCGGCGCCGTCACCAACGTCAAAGTGATCCGCGACTTCGCCACCAACAAGTGCAAGGGCTTCGGCTTCGTCACCATGACCAACTACGAGGAGGCGGCCATGGCCATCGCCAGCCTCAACGGGTACCGGCTGGGCGACCGCATCCTGCAGGTCTCCTTCAAGACCAGCAAGCAGCACAAGGCCTGAGCCGGGGCCCGAGCCGAGGGCAGGAGAGAGGAGCCGTGGCAGAGACTGGGCAGCCCCCCCCCCGACACCCCGACCTGATGGAAAGAGAGACAACCCCACCCAGAATCTCCCGCCCCGTGGCAGGCACCAGCCCCCCACCCCGTGGCGGGCACTGTCTCCCCAGCCCCACAGTGGGCTCTGTCCTCCCCAACTCCATGGCGGGCACCGTCTTCAGCCCGATGGCGAGCGATGGCCCCGAGCCCCGTGGCGGGCACCTTCTCCCCCCCAGCCCCATGGCGAGCGACCCCCAGATGGCGCGCGATGCCCCCGTGGGGGAGCGGAAGGAACCGAACGCCTCGCAGCCTTGGTGAGGAGGAATATGCCACCGCGGGAGCCGTGACCAGACAGCGAGGGGGTGCCGGGGTCTCACCCCGCCCGCAGGCGAGGCAAACGTAAGCCTGACCCCCCCCACAACTGTGCCCCACGGCGTCGCGAGGACCCCAGCGGGGCAGGAGAGGGGACCCTCCATTATGGGTTGAATTCCAATGTCCCCTCTGTTTTGGGGGTGCCCCTGGCCCTCCCCCCACATCCTGGCTCCCCGACAGCCATCCTGAGGTTCCCCCCAACATTGTCCCCCCATCTCTCCCCCTGGGATTCCCCCCAACCCAACTTTGCGGGGGGGGGGGATTCCCGGCGGGGCTCTCCGCTGTGATCAGCGAGCGCCTCTGGGCTGGGGGGGCAGATGGGTGAGATGTTATCGGGGGCAGGGGTTGCTATTTCCAATCAGTGCTGGTCGGGGGGCGGGGTGGGGAGGGGATGGGCTGCTGCTGTTGAGTTGCTGGGGGGAAATGCTCCCCTGAGCCCCCACCCCCTGAGGCCGACTGTACTGAGCCAACCAGGGCCCCAAGCCCCCCGGCTGTGGGGCTGCCCCGGAGGCAATGGGGGACTGGGGCTCTGAAACTAACCAGGATCCATCCAGGAGCACGGTGGGGGGGGGGGGCAGAGGGATGTGACGGCACTGGCTGGAGGCACCCCAAGATCTGCCCTCCCCTTCGCCATCAGAACAGGGGGTCCCAGCCTGGCTGTCGGGGAAGGGCCGTGGGGCACGTTCTCACTATGTCGCCGTGGTGCTGTCAGCCATTGCAAAGCCGACTCCTGGTTTCACCCGACCGGGGCGGGCTCAGGGGCGGACTCGGGGATCGGCGCTGGGGACTGTGCCGGGGAGCCTTGGCTCCAGTGACTTGGTCCTGCCGACAGCCCCGATCCTGGCAAGGCCTGTGTGTGTGTGTGGGGGGGTGACTGTGTCTTTAAAATCCAGGCATGTGTCTCTTCCAGCCCCACAGAGCCAGATCGTCCAAAGGATCCAGTGGGGGCTTGGATAAACCCTGCCCACTTGGTGTGAAGGCCACACCCATTCTGTGAAGGCCACACCCACTTGGTGGGTAGGCCACGCCCACTCAGTGTGGCGCTCTGTCTCCCTCTAGTGGTGGCTGGATCACACACAGAGGAGGAGCCTACGCCGACTTGGCTAACAGAGCTGGGGGGAGGGAGGGGTGGTAGCAGCCCATGTTTACAATGCAAGGACCCGGTTCAGGGCCCACAGCGGATACCCCCCCCCACTCCATGGGCTCGAAAACCCACTTGGCTCTGACAGCATCCGTGCGTCCTCCCTTTGCTCCTGGCGCCGTTCACCGCGCTGCATGCTCGTTCCCTGGGGGCTGGCGTTTCCGGTGGCCGTGGGGAGAAGCCCACCCATGGGTGGCTCACGCCTGCGTCGGCTGCTGGTAATTCCCGCAGTCCGGGAGGAGCGACTGGGCTGTCGTATCAGCTGTTCGGGTTAGGGGGTCGCGACTCGCTGCAGAGCGGCGCCTGGCGGGGGATGTCAGTGGGAGTTCGGTCCGTAGCTTCAGTGCCTTTGAGGATCTGGGATTAGGCGCTTCCCTTTAGGTGCCTAAGCCCCTTTGACACCCTTGGCGGCGCTGAGCCGTAGCGGCCTGCGTCTCATTGAAATGTCGGCTGCTGAATTGGTTTAGAAATTGGATCCCTCCTTGTTCCCTGCACCCCCTAAAGAGCCCCGATCCCCATGCAGCATTAACCCTTTCCCTGCTGCAGCCCCACCCCGCCACGCAGTCTTCAGATTGTGCCTGCTTTCTTTCCAAAACCGCCCCGAGCAAAACGGGGAAGGGGGGGGCGAGGCACAAAGGGATATTTAAATAAATGGATTAAACCCATTTGAAAAGCAAGAGAAAGTTACCCGCCTCCCCAACCTCCCCTCCCAGCCCCGTGTTAATTTATTTCCTTGAGAATGGTTGTTTTTTTTGTTGCCAAAAAGGGGTGGAGTGAGGGGGAAAGGGGCAGGGCTTCCTCTCTCAGCTCGTGAACGAACAAATGAAATAAAATAAATAATAATAATAATAATAATAATAATAGAAAAGGCTGAAAACAGAAATAATAAAAAACCAACAAAAAAATGGGAAAAAAAATCTATTTTTATAAAAAAGGGAAAAAAACCAACCTCGCTGGGAATTTTTACTGGGATTCTTGAACTTCACACACACACACACCACACACACGCACATTCACACACACACACACACCACACACACACACAGAGCAAACTAAAAATAAGAGAAAATTCTTTTTTGTTTTTAACAAAGAGGTTCTGTGATTGCCCAGCTCAGGGCCGACAAATGGAAATGGTTGTTTTCTTTCTTTGGGTTTCTTTTCAGAAGGGGGGGGGCCGTGAGCACTCACGATTGTTACCAAGGATATTTTTTTATTTAACATTTTACGACAAAAAAACAAAAAAACAAAAAACCAAAAAAACCAAAAAACAAAACAACAACAAAAATAAAACCTAGCAGAGAAAAGCAAGGAACAAAAATTAAAAGAGGATTTAAAAAATGCCCCAAACTAACCAGAAACACAACTGATTTTATCCAGGGAAACATGCTTCATATTGACATTACTTTCATTTACACCCAATTCCATATTTTTGAAAAAGAGCCGTGATTTCCTCCTTCCCCTTGTTTTTGGGGTGAAAAACTTTGGCAGCGTGTGAACATTTCTTATTGATTTATTGTCCATATCATAGTCATGCCTGGGAGCTCCAGGCTTGGATCAATCTCGTTGCAAAAGGCACGGACACAAAGAATAAACCAGTCGATGGAAGTGGCACAAAAGCATTTCTGCTGATCCAAGGGGAGGATGGATAAAACAACCCCCAACCCTGAACAGAAATACAGGAGTGAGTCACTTCTTGTCTCAGAAAAGCATTTGACTGGGTCGAGAGGAGGATCAGTTTCGGGGCATCTCACGTGCCCATCGGTTCACAGGCCTTGATAGATTCATAAAGTTTCAGAGACCATTGGATTGTCTAGTCCAGCGGTTCTCAAACTCTGGGTTGGGACCCAAAAGTGGGTCGCAACCCCATTTTCATGGGGTCACCAGGGCTGGCTTAGACTTGCTGGGGCCCCACCACCCAAGGCCGAGCCGGAGGGTTTCAGCCCTGCGTGTTGGGACTCAGGTTACAGGCTCCCCACCTGGGACTTCACCTTTGTCCTGCTCTCCCTTCCCTCCCCCACCCGGGTCCGTGGGGCTCGGGCAGGCTCAGGCCTCGGTCCCCCCTCCTTGGGTTGTGTAGTCATTTTTATTGTCAGAAGGGGATTGCGATGCAGTGAAGTTTGAGACCCCTGCTCTAGTCCCACGGGCTGTATCGACCAGGCCAGAGAATTCCAGCTGGCGGTTCGCCGAGCCAACCCATATCTTGTGGTTGAACTAGAGCGGCGCATTTCGAAGAACAACTCCCCCATCTGGATGTAAACTCTCCACGCTGCTGCACAGCCTGTCTTGCTCGGCGGGAGGCTGCTCCAGGGGGTCACCCCTCTCGCTGGGCAAACTCGGCACTGCTCTTTCCACTCTGAAGTTGTCTGGCTTGGAAGCTGGGTCTCCCTTTGCCCTGTGGCATCAGCCCTCGTTCCCCAGCTTCGGGGACTGACAGGCGGTGGTCAAACTGCTGCCTAAGCTTCTCGTCCATCAGCAACATTGATTTGAGCTTTCCCATGTCCTAGCCTAAAGGCAAGCGTCCAGAACTGCTCTCAGAGCCCTTCTGTGAACCTGCCCCAGTTTTTCCAACAGAGGAATGCCAAAGCCATCATGGTGGCAAGCTACAGGTTCTATCACAGTGCCCCAGCCTGAGATGCCAGGCTCCAGCTACGAGACAGGACCTCACCCACCTTGTCTCTCTAATACCACGAGGACACCACGGTAGCACCATGCCCGTAGCATGGCCTACCATGATGCCCTGGCTGTGAGCTCACCTGGAAACACAATATCCATAGCCTCCTCCTTCATGACTCATGTGTCCTCCCCTGAAACGTTGGCCTCAGCGGTGCCTCATCAAGAGAAAGCGAGCCCCGTGTACCCCCACCACAACACCCACGGCCATGCTACGAAACTGATCCACCTAGGAGACCCACATCTTTGCACCAGCCCTCCCCCGACGGGGAGATGCTACTTTATTTCAAGCCATAGGATAATCATGGGGGATTTTTTGTTTAAGACGTCACTGTCCAAAAACTGGAGTTTTAAGATTTTCAGCTAAAAATGTCTTGTTTTTTTGGCCAATATTTGGCTAACAAATTTCTAGTCACTGGCTGAATTTTGTTGCTGTTTTAGTTTTCTGCAGGAAATTTTCTAGGTTTTGGGCCAGATTTTTCCATTTTTTTGGCCAAAAATTTACCAGGGTTAGGGAGATTTGGGCCAAAATATTTTGGAAAATTTGGGTCATTTTTTCCCTTTTTCATCAGTTTTCCCCCCACTAGTTTTCAGCAATTTTCAGCCAAAGTTTTTTCAGTTTTTGCCCTTTTTATTTTATTTTTTTAATTTTTGGTTAAAAATGTACCAGTTGTTAACCGCCCAATCCCCCCAGTTTTGAGATTTTTTTAACCCATTTTTTTCCATTTTCATTGGGTTTTAGTCAAATTTTCTCATTTTCAGCCATGTTAGGCCATTTTCCCCTTATTTTGGGGAAGTTTTTGGCCAAAAAAATGTATCAGTATTTGGCCAAAATAAATTTCCGTTTTTGGTAATTTTCAGCCACCATTTTTCAGTTTTCTGCTGCCAAATACTCAAGTTTTTTGGTTTTCCAACTAAAAATCTACATTTTCCAACAGGGGGGGGGGGGAAAGAAACCCCCTTTTCTCCCACCAGCTCTAATTTAACCACTGCCTCTGATGGGAGCCAATTTCCCCCAATGCTGATCGCTTGTAGCAGAGCTCTACCCTCGGTTAATTTCTTTTAAGGATGTTTCGTTTAAAGGGGCAGTTTCCTGGATTTCTGTTGAAAAACCACTTTCAACTCCTTGAAGTCCAGCCATTTCTGAGAAAATATCTTCCAGTGTCTCATGTCTAAGCTAAAATCTATAAAGAATAAATCTTTCAGGAGTCCTGACAGACTTTTTAAACAATCATTCTTTTTGCTCTGTACGCTTCTTTGGTTTGTAGCAGTGTAGAGCAGGACGAGTAATGGAAGGGAACTATCCTTAGAGGGGTGTTACTAACTCACTGGTCTGATTTCCTTTTCTATTCCGCCCCTCCAAGAGCGAGCAGAAATTAAGTTGATTTAAACGAAATCCCAAACCTTAAAAAGGGGGAAACTCAATTGCCAAGGCATGTCATGGCGTTTCACATTACAAATCACATCCCAAACAACACACATCCGCTACTTTTTGATTTAGGTTTTCTTTCTTTTTTTTTTTTAAATTTGATTTTCAATTTTTGGTTTGACAAAAACGAGACCAATTCTTTCACTTTAGAAAACAAACGGGAAAAACAACAACGTAAAAAAGAGAACGTAATGATAATTAAACCTTTTAGCATTAGTTGAGTTTTAATTGTTTAAATGATTTAGAAGTTAGTTTAGGATTTCTTGATTTTTGAAGATAAATGTGTTCTGTGTTTGTAAGATCTGTGAGAGCTTCTGTTTGCGAAAAAACATAGAAAAATGACAAAAAAAAAAATTAACTGGCACCATTAACTTGTATCTTTTTGCGGATTTTAGCTTCTTGTAGTTTTAACTTATTGTTAACTTAAATATTTATTATTACTGCCTTGTGTGAGTACATTTGTGTATATTTATGTTATCTCATCAGATTTGCAAGTTAAAAAGGAACTATTTTTTAATTTGCTGAGACGTGGTTTTACCTAATTTATTTATTAAAGAAAAAGGGAACAGAAAACTCAAATAATAATAATAAAGAGTGAAATGTTTAAGGACAGATTCTCCGATCGAGGCGAAGTGCACTGACTTAATTTAAGGGGGATAATGTAAAGAAAAGCGTATAGATCAATTATCTATAAAAGTGTGTCTGTGGGAATCAATGTTACATCGATTACTTTTGTCTTGTAGGGGGAAATTGCAAGCCTGTTTCTGCTCTTCATTCTATTAGAAGGTTAAGGGACTCAAATTTCTAGCTTGTCGTTTTATCTATTTCTTCTTCCTGTGTGTATTTATTAGCCCTTTCTCCCCTACATAACACAGCCCTCAGCACTCAACCACCCCCCCGAGGTAAAACCAAGGATCGAGTTCAGTTTGGTGATGGATTTCCTTTTATTTCAGTTTTTTTTCTTTTAAAAAGAGCCTCCCGTGAAGCCGATATTGTGCACGTAAAGGGGCAAATTGCAGTTCTCTCTGGCCTTGATTCAGCAACGGATTTAAGCATGTGAGCAGGATTACAGGGGGGGTTTACCGTGCCGGGCGCTGCCCAGACCCCAACCGAGATCAGGGCCCCGTCGTGCCGGGCGCTGCCCAGACCCCGCCCGAGATCAGGGCCCCGTTGTGCCGGGCGCTGCCTAGACCCTGACCGAGATCAGGGCCACCATTGTGCCGGGCGCTGCCCAGACCCCGACCAAGATCAGG